AGGACGGGTGTCTAGGGGGACACAACAGCCAGGGTAATATGAGGACGGGTATCTAGGGGGACACAACATCCCGGGACATATGAGGACGGGTGTCTAGGGGGCCCAACAGCCAGGGGCATATGAGGACGGCTGCCTAGGGGGACACAACTGCCAGGGTCATATGAGGACGGCTGTCTAGGGGTACACAACAGCCAGGGTCATATGAGGACGGGTCTCTAGGGGGACACAACAGCCAGGGTCATATGGGGACGGCTGTCTAGGGGGACACAACAGCCAGGGTTATATGAGGACGGCTGTCTAGGGGGACACAACAGACAGGGTCATAGGAGGACGGGTATCTAGGGGGACACAACAGCCAGGGTAATATGAGGACGGGTATCTAGGGGGACACTCCAGCCAGGGTCATATGAGGACGGGTCTCTAGGGGGACACAACAGCCAGGGTAATATGAGGACGGGTATCTAGGGGGACACAACAGCCAGGGTAATATGAGGACGGGTATCTAGGGGGACACTCCAGCCAGGGTCATATGAGGACGGGTAGCTAGGGGGACACACCAGCCAAGGTCATATGAGGATGGGTGCCTGGGGAGACACACCAGCCAGGGTCATATGAGGATGGGTGCCTAGGGAGACCCACCAGCCAGGGTCATATGAGGACGGCTGGCTAGGGGGACACAACAGCCAGGGTCATATGGGGACGGCTGTCTAGGGGGACACAACAGACAGGGTCATAGGAGGACGGGTATCTAGGGGGACACAACAGCCAGGGTCATATGAGGACGGGAACGTATTAAGACACAACAGCCAAGGTCATATGAGGATGGGTGCCTAGGGAGATACCACTGAGTAGAAAGAGTAGGGATTTGATGAATGAAAAGATAAGACACCAAGTATTGCTATGAGTGGAGCAGATCAATTTTGATTTCTTCACTGTCCCCTTAGCAGAACAACCCCCTCCCCCCGATTCTGCAGGGCCCCACATTAGCCACCTCTAACAACACTAAGCCGGCTACACCATGTATATTATGTGTATTCTCTCCCCTGAACCCGCATTTAGGTAAAGCGTTCGTGACAGTAGAGCCTGGTTGTCTTGCTATTCTGAATATAGCTATTGTACATATATAGCTGGAATCATGGCCCTGTGTACTAGTACTTGTAGGCGACTCGCATATTGTTACGAGGAACTCGGGTTTGTGAGGAAAAGTTACAACGAGGGGCCTGTGTTGCACCGAAATAACATGCGTCCCTAGGCCTGTACCTGACGCTGTACATGTTTATACTAATATCCATTATATATGTAAATGATTAATTGGCCACGTCCCAATAATGTTTGTCTGTTACGATGCACAAAGACATGCTAGCCTATTTCTTAATAAAGATTTCTCTATACTGGTATATATGTCATCTCTGGCTTTTACATAAAGCAATGTATTATTGATCAGAATTATGAATATAACTGATATGCCAATTTTCTATCTACTTGTCTGATATATTGTGCAATATAATCATATGCATGCATTATTCCAGTACGTAGTATTCATCAACAAAATGGTATGTGGGGAATACCCATTGATTCAAGAAGTATGGTAAGTGATATCTTGACCCCTTACTATAATGCTTGATAAAGAAAACGATGGAATATTGCACTTGGACGTTTTGAATTTCTAGTTCTAAATGTAGTAGCGGATTCAGAGGAAACAATGTCAATAAATTCCATATCATTGTAGTGATGAAATAAAACGTGGTTATTACGATGATATAATCAGTGGCGTAGCATACATGTAAAAAGATTTTTGTTATCATATATTTTTGTCATTTTTTTCCCCTTTTTTATCATTAATATGGACCGTTCATATCAATCATAAAAAGGAAAGATATAAACAAAAAATCTTCTTGAAAAATCTTTGTTATGTCTATACACTTTGACAATCTCGAAGGTTACTACTAAGTGAAGTACACAATTTAAATATTATTCATATAAAAAGTCGGGTTTTACTTGTTAATAATCGGGTAAAAAGAAGTTCATAGAACACGGGAGATTGCTACTATGACCTTATTGATTTGTTTCCACCTATGGTACCCCGGGGGACTCCCCCGTCCATACCCTCCCCCTTTTCCGGCGCTGCGCGCTTCGGACGCTCGACCCTCGATAAGCATACACCCCGACAACGATTTGCTGCACCACTTGGTTTAGTAAAGAATAGGTAGGTCTTAGCTGTTGCGAGGATGTTAAACCGAATACAAAACAAACAAATAAACCATTTTTCCCTTCATTAGTTTATGCTGTCGGTTGCCATGGTGTGATTCTACTACTATCGCAAGCTTTGGTGTGATTCTACTGTCGTTAAGCCTTGGTGTGATTCTACTGTCGCTAGCCTTGGTGTGGTTCTGCTGTCGTTAGCCTTGGTGTGACTCTACTGTCGGTAGCCGTGGTGTGACTCTACTGTCGCTAGCCGTGGTGTTTACTACTGTCGCTAGCCTTGGTGTGACTCTACTATCGCTAGCCTTGGTGTGACTCTACTGTCGCTAGCCGTGGTGTTTACTACTGTCGCTAGCCTTGGTGTGACTCTACTTTCGCTAGCCTTGGTGTGACTCTACTATCACTAGCCTTGGTGTGATTCTACTGTCGCTCGCCTTGGTGTGACTCTACTATCGCTAGCCTTCGTGTGACTCTACTATCGCTAGCCTTGGTGCGACTCTACTGTCGCTAGCCGTGGTGTGTCTCTACTGTCGCTAGCCGTGGTGTGACTCTACTGTCGCTAGCCTTCGTGTGACTCTACTATCACTAGCCTTGGTGTGGTTCTACTGTCGCTAGCCTTGGTGTGACTCTACTGTCGGTAGCCGTGGTGTGACTCTACTGTCGGTAGCCGTGGTGTCACTCTACTGTTGCTAGCCGTGGTGTGACTCTACTTTCGCTAGCCTTGGTGTGATTCTACTGTCGCTAGCCTTGGTGTGACTCTACTGTCGCTAGCCTTGGTGTGACTCTACTGTCGTTAGCCTTGGTGTGATTCTACTACTGTCGCTAGCCGTGGTGTGATTCTACTACTGTCGCTAGCCGTGGTGTGATTCTACTGTCGCTAGCCTTGGTGTGACTCTACTGTCGTTAGCCTTGGTGTGATTCTACTACTGTCGCTAGCCTTGGTGTGATTCTACTACTGTCGCTAGCTTTGGTGTGATTCTACTACTGTCGCTAGACGTGGTGTGATTCTACTGTCGCTAGCCGTGGTGTGATTCTACTGTCGCTAGCCGTGGTGGGATTCTACTGTCGCTAGCCTTGGTGTGATTATACTGTCGCTAGCCGTGGTGTGATTCTACTGTCGCCAGCCTTGGTGTGATTCTACTACTGTCGCTAGCTTTGGTGTGATTCTACTACTGTCGCTAGCCGTGGTGTTATTCTACTGTCGCTAGCCGTGGTGTGATTCTACTGCTGTCGCTAGCCGTGGTGTGATTCTACTGTCGCTGGCCTTGTTGTGATTCTACTGCCGCTAGCCGTGGTGTGATTCTACTGTCGCTAGCCTTGGTGTGATTCTATTACTGTCGCTAGCCTTGGTGTGATTCTACTACTGTCGCTAGCCGTGGTGTGATTCTACTGTCGCTAGCCGTGGTGTGATTCTAATGTCGCTGGCCTTGTTGTGATTCTACTGCCACTAGCCGTGGTGTGATTCTACTGTCGCCAGCCGTGGTGTGATTCTACAGTCGCTAGCCTTAATTGGTGTGATTCTACTGTCGCTAGCCGTGGTGTGATTCTACTGTCGCTAGCCGTGGTGTGATTCTACTGTCGCTAGCCCTGTTGTGAGTCTACTGTCGCTAGCCTTGGTGTGATTCTACTGTCGCTAGCCTTGGTGTGATTCTACTGTCACTAGCCTTGATGTGGTTCTACTGTCGCTAGCCGTGGTGTGATTCTACTGTCGCTAGCCCTGTTGTGAGTCTACTGTCGCTAGCTTTGGTGTGATTCTACTGTCGCTAGCCTTGGTGTGATTCTACTGTCACTAGCCTTGATGTGATTCTACTGTCGCCAGCCGTGGTGTGATTCTACTACTGTCGCTAGCCTTGGTGTGATTCTACTACTGTCGCTAGCCTTGATGTGATTCTACTGTCGCTAGCCGTGGTGTGATTCTACTGTCGCTAGCCTTGGTGTGATTCTACTGTCGCTTGCCTTGGTGTGATTCTGCTACTGTCGCTAGCCTTGGTGTGATTCTACTACTGTCGCTAGCCTTGGTGTGATTCTACTGTCGCTAGCCGTGGTGTGATTCTACTGTCGCTTGCCTTGGTGTGATTCTACTGTCACTAGCCTTGGTGTGACTCTACTGTCGCTAGCCTTGTTGTGATTCTACTGTCGCTAGCCTTGGTGTGATTCTACTGTCGCTAGCCTTGTTGTGATTCTACTGTCGCAAGAGTTGGTGTGATTCTACTGTCACTAGCCTTGGTGTGATTCTACTGTCGCTAGCCTTGGTGTGAGTCTACTGTCGCTAGCCTTGTTGTGATTCTACTGTCGCTATCCTTGGTGTGATTCTACTGTTTCTAGACCTGGTGTGATTCTATTGTCGCTAGACCTGGTGTGATTCTACTGTCGCTAGACCTGGTGTGATTCTACTGTCGCTATCCTTGGTGTGATTCTACTGTCGCTAGCCTTGGTGTGATTCTACTGTCGCTAGCCTTGGTGTGATTCTACTGTCGCTAGACCTGGTGTGATTCTACTCGAAACACACAACCATGATTGCATATGCATTGTAAAAGTAGACTAACTTAGAGGCCTCTGCAAAATTGGGGGTTAGTTCCGTGTCTCCTTCGAAGGGAACATGGAAGAGACAAAAATTGATCTGCTGCCCCAATTGCAGCCCCCGAATATTTTCCCTGTATTTCATATCCACTTTATTTCTGTTTGTTCTCCTTCCCGCTGTGTCCCCTGACGTCCTTCCTCGTATGTGAGCAACAAATATGAATATTAATGAGTAACATTGAACGGAAGACAGGAAATGATGCTATATGTGTATAGAAACCCTTATTTAACTACAGTTCTCAGTCAAAATTCACAGTTAGTCTTTTGCCTCACACTGTGCTGTACGTATACCTGTCGCATTTGGAAAATGGTTCGTTTTTTATTTGTTCTCGTGCTGTCCTTCGCCTGTAGTAGAGTGTCTGACGGGCAGCCTCTTGGTAACCACCGGATCTCTCTAGAGGCAGCTCAAATGGAACAACGGATACTAGCCAGCATCAGGTAATACAAAGTCGTTTCGTGCCATAAATAATAACTGGAATTTTGATAAAACCGTTCAGTCACTAAAACCGATCAATTCATATGAAATATTCACGTTATATAAGTGTGAATATTTCCTATTAAATAACCGATTTCATAGACAATTTTTAGTCTCCATTTATTGTTCTGTTGACTAATTAACAGTTTTCGACAAAACATGAAACAGGGCATAACAACGGAATATTACTAATTATTATTGAGTGACATGCATTATTTTTCATTATTTATCTGCAGTTACACACAACAGCAGTAGTCGGTGATGACTAATTTATTGTGTAGAAATAGCATTTAAATTAAACTCGTAATAGATCCGCATCAGTCCTGTAGAACAACGTTGTTACTAGTTTGGTATTATAGTTTTGTGCGTAAATTAAAACAATATTGGTTTTGTAAGCAAATCGAGTGCAGATATGATATGATATTTCAATCAATCAATCATAAATCAATATTGCTATTGAGATGAACTTTAATTATTTTCTGTCTTTGAATTAATGTCAATTTCTAAAATTCGATATAGCTTCTAAGCCTTATTGATACAATGAAGTATCCTTTTTTTAAATGAAATAATTTTGATATAGTATTTTACCAAATCCATATTGCGTTGTTTTTGCCTATACTTTTAATCCCACATACTCGATGATACACAAGAAGTAGATATTTCGTACGTACTAATATAGGAGACGTATGTATTTTTTTTCATTCTTTTTTTCTTTGTTTCTTGAGGAGTAAAATAAAAAAAAATGAAAACATAAACTTTTTCGGATTTTGTAGTATTTTATTTCTCGACATAATAAAGATGTTCATGACATTACAGAATCAAACTAGATTTCTGTTACAATTATTTTGATTAAAATTCTAAGAGGTCAATTTCATTATTTTTTTTTTTTTAAGTGCTGGTGTATCAATATACCATATGTCTAGAATATAATGGATATTCTGAAAATCCTTTGTGTGATGTGAAGGTCGATGTCCCGCTGTTTCAAAAGTAGTTTAGAAAAACAGTTTCGATATCCAGCTTTTGGGCCGCTAGCACCACCGATGGGTCCTATAGAAGGACAAAACAGCTGTATTGTGCCGTGTAATTCATGTTTGGCATATTCCGAGATACAAAGTGGTGAACACAACATGTGGATTTCTTAAACCCCAGAGGTTTGGCCACAGTTATCTCATCTGAGCAGTTCCACGGTGTATGCTATACTCACTTTACAAATTATTTACTTTAAAATTAACCAACACTCCTCTAAAAAATATAAATTCGCCAATTACAATTTGTCTGACCACTACTGGTTTACTGTTAAACCAGTACATGTAGTTTAGACAATTTGGAACTTTATGGCCCCTAACATCACAGATCAGTCTTAGAAGGACGAAACAGCTTTATGATGCTGTGTAATTCATTTTTGGCATGTTATATCTATTAGGAGATTTTAAAGGTGTAATAGCTTATGGTTGTGTAACTTTTAAACGTTTAATCTTTTATAATTATGCTCATTAATGTGCCCGATTGTACTTTGATCTGATTTTGACCTTCATGATAGAAGTCGTCGATATAGCAAAATATACTTACCCTTGTGGAACACTTGGTCTTATTCTCTGTGTACCTACAGTTTCAATGTAAATCTTTACTTTGTTCATATATTGTCCTATTCTTTATCGATTTTGAGTTCGCATAACGGTTTTATTGTCCGTATTCGGTATTTTGTTGGCTTTTTAAATAACACGCATCCACTACAAAAACTTCATAAACTAGACTGTTATCATCAGGTCGGTAAAACAATCGATAACTGACAAAGTATTTAATTTAAATTTTAGATCCATACTGCCGCAACTCATTAATAGCGACACGTGCGGGAGTGAAAAACAAATGAACTCAGAATATCTGTCAGCCTTGGAGGACAAGATCAAGCTCCTACGATTAGAGGGACAGGCTGCTCTGTCAGCCTTGGAGGACAAGATCAAGCTCCTACGATTAGAGGGACAGGCTGCTCTGTCAGCCTTGGAGGACAAGATCAAGCTCCTACGATTAGAGGGACAGGCTGCTCTGTCAGCCTTGGAGGACAAGATCAAGCTCCTACGATTAGAGGGACAGGCTGCTCTGTCAGCCTTGGAGGACAAGATCAAGCTCCTACGATTAGAGGGACAGGCTGCTCTGTCAGCCTTGGAGGACAAGATCAAGCTCCTACGATTAGAGGGACAGGCTGCTCTGTCAGCCTTGGAGGACAAGATCAAGCTCCTACGATTAGAGGGACAGGCTGCTCTGTCAGCCTTGGAGGACAAGATCAAGCTCCTACGATTAGAGGGACAGGCTGCTCTGTCAGCCTTGGAGGACAAGATCAAGCTCCTACGATTAGAGGGACAGGCTGCTCTGTCAGCCTTGGAGGACAAGATCAAGCTCCTACGATTAGAGGGACAGGCTGCTCTGTCAGCCTTGGAGGACAAGATCAAGCTCCTACGATTAGAGGGACAGGCTGCTCTGTCAGCCTTGGAGGACAAGATCAAGCTCCTACGATTAGAGGGACAGGCTGCTCTGTCAGCCTTGGAGGACAAGATCAAGCTCCTACGATTAGAGGGACAGGCTGCTCTGTCAGCCTTGGAGGACAAGATCAAGCTCCTACGATTAGAGGGACAGGCTGCTCTATCAGCCTTGGAGGACAAGATCAAGCTCCTACGATTAGAGGGACAGGCTGATCTGTCAGCCTTGGAGGACAAGATCAAGAATCAAACCACACAATTAGGCTCGCTTAAGGCACAGAATGATAAACAACAAATGGATATATGCAAACTTTTGTTCGGTATGTAAAATTTACTATGTAGAATCATTTGTTTGCTAATCTTTTTGGATTTCCTCTCAGTTCATACATGTAAAAACAGTAGAAAATGTCGACAGTATGAATAATTCTATACAGAATTACTAAAGACTGCCATTATACGCTTATCATTACATATGTACATATAGATGTTCACAGCATCATGTTCAGACTTGTCACAGTAACATAGCGTATCTTACAGCTCACAGTGATACATCATTCTTGTTTACTAAGTAAGATATACCACCAAGTTTAAACTAGCGAAATATATGAAATAGGGTTATATGAAAACAAACTCCCCCTCAAACAGCTATTGACTAGAATTCACTATCAAAATATATATGTATAACAAAATCTATACATTATAGCTTCATTTTCAAAATCGTTAAAGTACAATAATGTGATGACAGTACATCAAATCTAAAATGTAATTCTACACAATATCTTTACTAAGTATTCAAGATACATGTATATCATTTCGGAATCCCGTACCACTGTCAAAAACGTGAAAAAAAAAAAATTAATCAACAGCAATTTCTGGCGTAACGATTCAGTGAGACTAGACTGGGGCCCATATTCATGAAACTGTCCCCGTGCTCAAACTGAGGTTTAGTGCTAACATCACATTTTCCCATGTTGTTTAAGAACTTTGGAGGGCTGGATGCAGAAAACTACTTCAATATTTTAATTTGACTTTTTTGGCAGTGTCACATGATGTGAGATATAATAAGTTGAGTCTGAGCAAGGGACCATGCGTAAGCATGAGAAAGGATTTATGAATACGGGCTGGGGTCTCGAACCACGGACCACAGATTAATAAACTGTAGCTCTTACCGACTGAGCTACCTGGTCAACAGAAGTGTTATGGTCCAGCTGTGCTACAGCCTTCCGAAACGAAATAAAAGGGAGATTACAAAAGATACCAGAATGGATTCTTAAATAGACATTTGCCATTCATAATTAAATTACACTTGTAAAATAACACCATCCTAATATCAAACTATGTTTCTTAAACTTCAAATCCTTTCCTCACGTAAAAGTTCACTGGTTTGGGTTATGTATGTACAGATATCCTGGTCACCTGCCCGACCACGTTGGTTTTCTCCAAGTATTCCGGTTTCCTTCCACATAAAAAATACCCCGCGCACTAACATCTGATCCAACAAGAGTGATTTATATAAGTTTAAATAACTTGTTTCATAACTGTTGTCATATAAATTTTATATTTATTGTTTGTATTGATAAACTGCAGGTTTTTTCAATCTCACTATCTCTGTTGTCTACAATCCAAGTTTTACATTACTACGCACAGACAAATCACTGCCCATTAAAAAAGAATTCCTTGTGAACCTTTCCACCTCTTCATTACTTTAAGCATACACCATTGCCTCCATTCTCGAATTACAAGGATTTTGATCTCGATTCACGCATCTTCTCTGCACCCCGGGAACATACTGTGACATAGTTGAAGAAACACGGCTAGCTATTTGATTGATTTCAGGTACACAAACCTGACCAATCGCTAGACTGACAAACGTTCTTACAAGATTACAAAGGAGCTACATCAAACTTCAAAGTCTGTCGATTTTACCGTCACGCTCCGCGTGATTCTTCGATCCTCGTTGCAGAGAGCATGTTTGTATGTAGAGCGGAATTCGAAGCCAACTTTTCAACTTGTATCAACAGACACCCGATGGTGTATGTAAACTTAAACCCATAACACTCCTGTTGCTAAGTGATGCACAGCGTTCATACATGCATAATATATTGTACATAAAAACCATAGCAACACAACTGATGGAGGAATGCAAGCTTTTTTTACTAGTTCCCTGCCCGACCTTCCGCAATCTCCAACACCGAATAGCCTAGCCCAGAAACAACCGCAGCTCTGACCATTGCATCGTCGCAGCTTCCTTAAGAAGGTAGTTTTCATGTTGCAGTGGTCAACTTTAGTCTCGTTCAACCAGACTCTTGTTGTCTCACAAGCTACGCCGTGATCAAGCATCTGGTTGAACAAGAATATGGTCAACTTACATTCGACAAGATTGCATCTAGCTATTTGATTGGTTTCTAGTAAAAGCTCCCACTCATTTGGTTGATACCTGTCCTTTGAAGAATACAGATGAGCTATAACTGCATTTGAAGTCTGTCTATTGTACTGGTATGCTGCTTGGCGATTCTTTTAATGTAAACTAAAGATCAAACTATTAAATTTGTATTATTTTTCAAGATGGCGCATACAGAGCATTCGATTCCGTCAAGACATATGTCAGGGGTGCAGAGAACAACAGAAAGCGCGATTCATTGGATTTCGAGGAAGTGTTTAGCGTTTTACATTCCCTGTCAATAAAATCGACCTTTTATAAAGTACCTACTTGTTTTCTGTCATATTGATGTTAATGAAGTTATAAATAAATGTATAATCCTTTTTTAACGAACCAGAGAGTGGTCTTGTTTCCGGCTTTCCTCGTTTTCAAATGACACGGCAATGTTTTGTTTTTTTTTTATCAAAAGTGAAGGGCGTAAACCACCTTAATACATGTGTGTATTTCTTCTAATTTGATGTTAAAATTATTTTGTCAGCAACATGCTATTATATTGGCACACGCACAACTGTTTTGATATAAAATAAATATCGTCTTATCATTAGATATTGAAGTTGATGATATTATACAGGTATATAACGTTGTTTTTTGAATTTTTTGCTGAAAAAATACTATTTGATCAAATATAATATTTAATATATAGTTTAAGGTAAAACGAAAATATATTAACGTGAGCCCAGACTAATTACTTTTACGTACACGAACACGGTGAAACTATCTTATATTGCTATAATTTACATTAATGTCGGATTATAAATGTTTGTGTCTTGCTGTAAAAATGAAATGACATTGAAACGTCGGTCTGTATACTGTGATATTGCTGTACCTATATCAACAGCATTGCGAGTACAATAAAACATCAATGCATAGACTTTTCCTATTTTCAGAAAAAGTGGATCCCAACGCGACTGTACTTGCCTTTAAGGATTGATGCTATCTGTTCGTGGAAGAACAGAGTTTGACCTGGTCCGCCGCTCAGGTAGTATACCTGCTGTTCACAAGTTTATATTTACATTTCTACCGAGTTCCTATATCAGCATTCACCATAAGAAATTGCGTTTATAGGGCTATGGACGCAATTGGATCAGCGCCCTTTTATTTATTTTTTTTCCGCTAGACTAACATGAGACAACCGTTAGAAGCAAACATTTTGGTGACGTGAAGCTATTCCAGGAAGTTCGTTTGTAATAACGACACAGACTTTTCTATATCGAAAATGTAAGGAATATGTTTGTTTATGGTCAATAATAACTAAAACTTAAGAATGTAAATAAAAGGAATGAACGGCATTTTTCAATGTTCATGTCAGTTTGAACGCAAACCGGTTACATACATATTATCGTGAAGCCCGAATATGATCTAAAGAAAGTGTTGTTAAAGCGACTTTCGTGGTAAGACTGATTCACAAACTCATATATTATTAAAAAAACCCGATGAAAACATATCGTCCGTTTTCAGAAAGTACAAACTAATGCTCTCAGACTTGGCCTATAGTTACAACTAATATCCTGTATAGCCTTCAATACTGCATTGTTATTTCACTTTGTTAGTTCTGATTTTATTTTTGACATTTTGCTATGCATATTGCTGTTTCCAAAAAGTGCTAGAGTAGCTTAACTTAAAATTTTGATTTCCCTAAATGTATATTGTCCCTTTCTTTAAAAAATATTTCCAAATACTCAAATTTCGAAGCTACGCTGCTTCATAATTGTATACCGCCGATGCTGAGTATTTCCTACATGTTATCAAGCTGACGCCCNNNNCGCCCCCCTTATGCTTACGTAAGCATTCCGTTTGAACATATTTATTCAAGAATCCTGCACAATTTTATGTCAGTTTGTTCAGGCCTGTGTGGATTTGACGAGATTTAAAACATCTCAGAATTCTTGCTTATACAGAAGGATGTAATATTCGATTAAGGTACCATCATAGGTTGGTGTCAGTTTTCACTAAATCATGATGGCCGCCAAAATTCGAATACATTTAAATTATAAACTGACATTTAATTTAACTCAGCTATTCAGGCAAACACTGATTTTGTTAACCATGATCATTTCTATTTTATTTGTTATACATTTTAATGGAATCATCAGGAGAGATGTCAGTTGGTGGGAGCGAACCTTGTATCCGTGATGAGCCAGGATATGCAAGACTTCATCGCCAGTGTTACAGGTTAGGATTGCATGACTCATTTCACCTCGTGGGGGTAGGGACACAATTAACACAACAGGACAACACGGCCTGGCGGGGCACATGTCGTCACTTTGTCTGTCAAATCTCGTCAAAGTTTCCTGTTTCTTTTGGACGGCAAGGATATTGTCAAACCGATACATGACAATATCCTTGCCGTCCCAAAAGAAACAGGAAACTTTTTTTATCTCCTGAAAAGGCGCGGTTCATTTCTTTATCCCCCGGAAGGGCACGTGGAATTCATAGGCAGATGTTTATATATTTCTAACTTGTGAATAACATTCTAGCTTTCGGGATTAATATGGTTAGTTTCAGTATATATCGTAAGTTCTGCTCTCATCGACTAATTTTTAAATGAAATTGAATGTTATTCTCGTGTTTTTTTACTGTATAACATGTAGTTGATATTTATTTCGTTTCTGGTGTTACCCGAAAACAGATGACAACGATAAGAAATTTTCATTTTTTCCAGTTGTATTGGAGCCAGTTATAGTATACGTGATTTAAGTTCTGGATTCCGAAACAGACTGCCGAATAAATTGAAACATAACTTAACATTCCAGAAATCGAACGACACAAATTAACAAGTTACTTGCCACCATTAGCTCAAAACTTAGTGGCAGTGTTACCACGTGATCCTGCAGATTTTTCAAAGAGGCGGGGGGAAACGTTGAACTTTTGTGCAATTAACCCTATTGTTCATTATTCTGGAGAAAATGATACATACATAAGGAGAGCTCTAATGATCTAACTTTCTTAGTTCAAAACATTTCCGTTAAGTGTGTTATTTTCTGGTATAATATAAACACAAACCTCTTAATATAAAAACCGTAAATATATTTTTTATCATATACTAGTGTCAATATAGTTGGACGACAGTTAAAAATCATATGACTATTGTATGAACATCTTTATAACATCACATGACTATGATTATGTTTAAGTAACGCATTAGTGAACTTGGTCATGTTCAGTATAATTTTAATATTTTCAGGATATTGGTGGATAGGCGGCAAAAGGAGAACGACGGATAACAAGCTCGCTTGGATCGGGAATGGCCTTCTGCTCGATGACACCTATACCTATTGGTACCCAGGAGAGCCTGATAGTAGCGGCGATTGTGTCTTTACTACTGTCCGAGGATGGTATGACTTTGACTGTTCATATAGCGGTACATACTTATGCGAACTTTGATTTATGACTGTGGATATATAGTGCCTAACACTTGCACATATACATTGAAACCTGTCTATACAAACTACCTGTCTATATAAACTACCTGTCTATATAAACTACCTGTCTATACAAACTACCTGTCTATATAAACTACCAGTTTTCCGATCAACATTTATTCTAGATATATTCTTTAATGGAATCCCCTACCCTTTTACAATTGTTTGATAAAAACATATTTTATAATCTTTTAACATTATCACTTTTGTATTGACAAGTCAATGCAGCATTCACATCCTGGCTAAGAAAAGCAATCATGTACAATTTTAAACCTGCAATAAAACATCTCAAAAAACAAAATTTTTCACTTTTGTTTTGTTTTTGTTGCCTTATCGTCGAAGCCTTTAATAAAACAAATATGGCTTTTTGTGATGGAAAATATTATGTGATATGAATGTTAAACAAGAGGCCCAAAGGGCCTGTATCGCTCACCTGGAAATGTTAGCAAAACTGAAGTTTAAATAGCCATTTATTGCTGGAAGTGTAAATGTATTACATGGTTAGCCAGGGGTTATATTTAAATGCAATCGGACAAAATCCTGTCATCCCTACAGGAAAAAGAGGATTAGAAGAACTTGCTATGTTTCCCCTATCGGGCCCCGGCCCTCTGCCCCAAGGAGGATTAAACCCACCGGTACAAAATTAGCTCCCCTTCACCCAAGGATGCTTTAGACCAAACATGGACATACTCCTTTCATTCCTACAGAAGGAGAAGGATTTTCAATATATTTTTCTATTTTCCCTATTTGGCCCCGCCACTCTGCACCCTAGGGGGTTCAGACCCACCATTTATACAAAATTGATTTCCCTTCCCCATAGGATGCTACTGTTCAAATTAGATCAAAATACCTTCATCCCAACGGAAGAAAAAGGATATTAAAGCTTTTCCTCTATATCCCTTATTGGGCCCCGCCTCTGTGCCCAGCGATAATTGCAAAATTATCATTACAGCAAATATATTTAAATAACATAATATATTCATAGTAATTACATGTAAAGGTCGAAATTAACACTGGGAGAAAATTGAATTTCATGGGCGAAGTCTGCCAGTATACAGTATGTAACTGTGAAATATATATCTTATTATGAAATATACAGTACTGTAAATTTTATAATAAGATAAATATTTCACAGTTACATATACAGTACTGTAAATGTAACTGTGAAATATATATCTTATTATAAAATAAACAGTACTGTAAATGTAACTGTGAAATATTTATCTTATTATAAAATATACAGTACTGTATATGTAACTGTGAAATATATATCTTATTATAAAATATACAGTACTGTAAATGTAACTGTGAAATATATATCTGATTATAAAATATACAGTACTGTATATGTAACTGTGAAATATATATACATGTATCTTATTTTTATTTTTTGGAATAGCTTTAAGAAAATATCATTTAAACTGTACTGGCAAATATTGTTGTATTTCTATTGCAATAGCGCATCCCGATGACAAATTTAACACGACCACAAATGGTGTTGATTCGTTGATACGATGTACTGAAATCACAAACAAAACAGTATTTTTAGTACAAAGTATTATGATGATTAACTATAAAATGACCAAATTGACAAATAATATTGACATAAATAGAAAAATTATCCACAAGTTCAATTATTATTCACAATAGAGAATTATTCCAACAAAATTATAACACAGATTTCTTTCTGTGGACAAAGGGAGACAACTACGAGATAGCGTAAACAAACTACAACAGTCACACCTGGGTGCCCTCCCTTGAATAACATAAAAATTGAGGAGGATTCGTCTGCACAATTTCATCGTTAAACTTCTGGTAATAGATTAGGTACCTTTAGAATAATAAGTCCGATATATTATAACCAAAATTAACACAACAGCAATCCTACCTTTTTGGCAACACAGATTTCACTCAACGAACACGTGTTTACATATTGCGAAGTAACAATAAAAGGGGGGAAACATGATGTGGCCAACACATAACTTGTATTCACATAATATCGTTTGGAAATGTCAGTTATGTCAGAGAACTGTGACAGTACATAAACACAATTCATTCAACATATTCGTCAGCGAATACATGGGCGTGGCCATTACATAATCTGAAATTGAAACCGACCGCTAAAAACTGTCAAAGTACCCTTCACAATTGACAAAGACTGACATTACTCCAGCATTGACTTAACACAACCTGGGATTGTATTAACTCGTTAAGCTATGCAAATTCAAAGTATATTCACGTAGATCAGACAGTACAGACACGGAATTAGATTAGAATGCTATCTAAGTCCGTGGTACAGATAACATTCATTTTCTTTAGCAACAATGCCTTGGCCTCATTTTCGATATTCTGCAATTTGCGATGACGTCAGCTTGCGGGATATTTAACCTTTTTTTTCCTGAATCAGAGTTGCACCCCTTGCGTCAATTTGATTCGAATCTACAGCTTTCAATCTATTTTGTGTGGAATAGTTTTAAAAGAATATAATCTAAACCCTTTTTCTGAATCAGAGTGGCGTCTCTTGCGTCAAAGGATTTCTTTTAAAAGTGTTT